CCAACGAGCGACTCCATATCTGAAGCTGTGAATTATATCCCCAGCTGTGCCATAATCGATTTTCTATATGCGCATTTAAAACTTGAAGGAAAACATCGTGAGTCACTTCTAAGACCACAAAAGCCGACGGCTTGTGTCAGAAACGGGCCGATCACTTGCCTATAAATAATTACGAAATAGATACAGAAATCTGAAGCCCACATCTAAAATGTTATAGAGTTTTCACATATGTGCCAGTTATATATTCACTCCAGATGTAAGAGCAAGAAGTTGGACTTGGCAATATTACCAACATATCAACTTAATAGTACAAGTCCAGTACAGGTAATAGTTTTAAATGTCGTCGTACGAATTTGATGATACTAATTATGCAGGAGTCTCGGGGGACCTTCATTGGAACACCTCCAAGTGATTTTTGCTGCCGGAAACGCGTTTAAGTATTAAAAAAAAAAGGCTTTGTGTAATGTATTGAAATTTGCGAATTTCATCGCACGAATTGGGGGTTTTGGGGGGTGAGGGGGTGGAGGAGGGTTGTAGTAATCATCATCATCACAATAAATCTGAAAATGATTGCGAGAAATCAGTGTCTAGTATGTAAAGCCAAGTTTCAAAAAAATGCAAATAAAATAACGCACATTCACGTGAAAATAAAAAAACGAAAAAAGTAACGGATTTCTAACGGAAATTGAATTGGTATGTGAAAAATAATCGATTTCTTTAAAAGTGAAAATCGATTTTCGTATTCGATTTTAATATTAAAAATAATTGAAAATCGATCATAGTTGATCAGTTTCAGGAGAACAGTTATTTAAAAAAATATATTAATATACTAACCTAACCTAACCGAACAATAATAATAATACATTTTTGGACAGCTCCGGCGCAACGGGAAATGCGGGCTGCAGGCAATTTATTCATGCCTGTGCTTTGTTACGCAAGGGTGGAGGAATTTCATAAGTGACGTTTTAGTCTCTTCTTCTTAAATGGCCTGCCAAAAGGATTTCACGAATCCCGTGAGATTATCGTTTAGAAAAGAGAGAAAAAACGGATGAAATGCATGTAAGCCAAATAATTAACGATTTCCTCTCACTAAAACCTAAACGTATGCAGATATGCGATAATAGAACAGAGAAATTCGCTCTGGAATTAAAACCGTAATTCTTCAATCTCTCACGTTTCGCTGTTTCTAAGCGTGAATTTTAAGGAATTTCTAAATTGCTTGACTAGACAGAATTTTACGAAGTCATCGCTTTAAAAGTCCACGTTTAAAACGTCTGCAAGAAGCTTATTTTAACAGAATAAACCGTGCACAGATGTTTACTTAGAACGTCTTTATTGTTTTGGAAATTTAAATTCTATTTTGTCGCCATCTTTAAAATATTTCTTTTGTTTCACTTACTTCGTACTTTTATTACAAGGCGCACGTAAAGAATACATTGAGTTAGAAACTGTTCATAATGTTATTAAACATTGTTCAATTTTGACCTGCCAGAGCTGTCAGGACTTTTTCCAATGAGTACTGTCACGCAATGCTCTTCTCCATTAATAGGCAGTTAATCAACTGTCATTCCATCGTGGATTGTGGTCCTACGTGTCAATGGTCTCTGGGATATCAGGTCGAAACCTTTTGGCTCCATTTTCTATGTATTTAAGCAATTTAGAAGATGAAATAAGTTTACATCCAATCGGAAGCTTCACTGCCCTATGCATTCTTGAATCAGCCCTTAAATAACAAAGCATTGAATTGCACCGTTTATGAGATATATTATGCTATCGTTAGAGATAAATAAAATTAAAAATAAATGATTCTGAAGATGTTAGACACTATAGGCGATGTTATATGATATGATATATCTGATGGCGCAACAATATATAGATATTGGCTGCTGATTGCATCCGTTTCTATGATCATTTATTGCACAGTCAAGTAGGTGATGAGTCTTCTCTAAGGTGATGGCATGACATGTGTCGCCGAGCAAGTGTTAGATGCCCACGTAGAAAGAACGTCTGGTGCACAGCCGGGGATCGAACCGATACTACTTCTAAGATAAGAGCCAACGCTGTATTCCAATGGCCAACATCGCTTATAACAGTACTTTATCTGTTTCAGCAGCTCTTTAGGATTAATTATTAGTTTTTTTTTTTCAGATTAAAAAAACTTAATGCTATTTTCAAAATGCACTAATTATAATGCAACTTTGTAGGTCATAATAATTTGAGATCCCTTAATATCTCTTGTAGCAAACAACTTCTGAACCTTGAAATAATTTCAAAGAATGTATCTACGTATATAATTGTTAAAATCGATCCATTCGAGAATTTAAGATTACAGACAGAGATACCAAATTGAGCCTCTTTCTCGAGAGTCGATTAAGAAATACAAAGCTAAAACATTCAGTGTCAAAGAGAAAATAAACAACTACACGCTATTACAAGCCATTAACTTAGGAAAGGTTAAATTCAAAGAAAAAGTATGAATAATGAATGACTGAAAACGCTGAAGGAAAATAATTTGCGAATGTTAATTTACGAAAACGTTCTTAACGTTTAGAAGTCTGTTTTAATATTATATCATTTTGATGAAATTGTTTAATAGAAACTTTAATATTCATTGTTTGAATAGCAGTGCTTAGCAATAGCTTGAAATGTAATGTAAGAACATTTGCAGGGTAAGGTAAGGTTAAATAAGTGTATTATTATGTATTAATTTACTTCATAAAGAATAGTTTTCGGAATTTATTTTCTTTATTGATAAAAGCTTGACACACTGACTCATTGGTAAAAGAACCACAATATACAATATAAAATTTGACGGCTCATTGGTCTAGTGGTTAGTACCCCTGACTGCGAATCCATAGGTCCCGGGTTCGATCCCCGGCTGAGACAAACATCGATGTGATGAGCATTTGGTGTTGTACTTAGGTCTTGGGTGTTTAAAATATGTATTTATATGTCTATCTATCTTTAATATGTATGTATATCCGTTGCCTAGTATCCATAACACAAGCTTCACCAGCTTAGCTTGGGACTAGGTCAATTAGTGTGAATTGTCAAAAAAAAAAAAAAAAAATATTGTGACAAGCACTTATAGGCAAACATAACATACACGATGAGATAAAACAAATATTAAACAATACAATTGAAATTACAAAAACTAAACGAAAATCGATTTTAAAATGTAAGGGGAGCAACTATGGTTATCCAGACCTAGCCCGTTTATCAGTATGCTCAATCTGGACATCGCTGAACTTTGACCAAAACACGTTCTTCGGAAAGCAGGGACAAATCAAATGATGGGATGCCTGGGGTGTATAGAGGGTACAGGAAATTTAAATTTTGATAAAAGTTTGGCATCAACCTGATTGTTAACAAGAACAGAACAACATCTTAAAGTGGTTCCTGGTTTCGTATATTGGCAACTTTTTTTTCGAGATGCCTTTCTCCAGTGTTAAAATCAACTTATAGTTCGCTCGCCGAAAAGAATCGGCCACAAAGTATATCATGTTCTAGATAATAAATAACCCAGTGGCGCGGAGCAACCCTCATACCGGTCTTGGTTTTCTAGGTTTGTTCGATATTTTTTTTTTTTTTTTTGCCTTCTCTGTCTGACATCGATTTTTGAGTCGAGACATGCCGGTTTCCTCATGATGTTTGCCGTCATCGTAGGAGCAAGTGCTAATCTCACACACAGAAAGATACTTCCATTTATGCACAACTGTGATTCGACCGCGCGACCTCAGGCCACTAACCAACACTTACTAGACACCGCTCTAATTCCCAACACTGTTCGTGATATAACATTCATAATTTAGTTAAGTAAATTAGTTGGTGCTATACAATCATATAAATAAATATATATATAGTATTGTTAAGTTTTTCGAAGGTAAAAAATAAATATAAAATAATATATAAAAATAAATCGCAAAATGTGTTGGTAAGCGCATAACTCAACAACGCCTGGACCAATTTGGCCAATTCTTTTTTTATAATATTCCTTGAAGTACGAGGATGGTTCTTACGAAGAAAAAAAATTAAAAAAAATGAGTGAAAAAGTCTAAAAACAACAGTTTTCTATATTCCCATACAAAATATTCGTAATAATACTTAAAAGTCAGTTTGAACTTTAATACCATAACATAAAGTTCAAGTGTAAGTGGAGGGGTTCCGGGAAGGTAATTTTTTTTTGACACTCATTTGAACTTTCTTTTTTTTTTCTTACTAGCTAGATCGGTGTCCCGAATAGCAGAATAAGTATTTAAAAAAAATAAAGAATCGACTGTTAGCCGGTACGATGTTCGCCAGGCCAGCTAGTACTGAATAAAAAATGATAGAATATTGTAAATTCTGTATGTTTGAGAAATGGTGGCCTAGTGGCTTCAGCGTGCTACTCTCATCCCTGTCATAGGTTCGATCCCGGCTGTGCACCAATGAACTTCTATGTGCGCATTAAACATTCGCTCGAACGGTAAAGGAAAACATCGCGAAGAAACCGGCTAGACTTAGAACCAAAAAGTCGAGGGCGTGCGTCAGGCACAGATGGCTGATCACCTATTAGATAAATGATCATGAAACAGATACAGAAATCTGAGGCCCAGACCTAAAAGGGTTCTAGTGGTGCCAGTAATCACTGGCACCACTAGAACCTATTATTATTATAAATCTATTATTATTATTTTTTGTGTTGAAAATAAATTGTCATTGTAGTCGGTTAAACTTCAATTGAATTGAAATTCTCGACACGTCTAAAGAAATTCTGTAAATACTTTACTAAAATGTTAAAATTTCTTTAAATTAAAACTATACACATTTTTTTTTATGTAATAGAAGGCAAACGGGCAGGAAGCTCACCTGATGTTAAGTGATACCGGCGGCCATGGACACTCACAATGCCAGAGGGCTCACGAGTGCGTTGCCAGCCTTAAGCCTAAGTCGAATTGGTTCGGAAATACTTCTGTGGGCAGCTGGTTCCACGTAGTGGTGGTGCGCGAAACCTGACATACCTGACACCACCTCTTTTTGTGTCGTAGTTCAGCAAGCGGCCCCCATGCTTCCAGTTCACTTGCTTCGCGGGTTGAGGAACCTCACTGACAATACATCTGAGTTCTATTATAGAACCTTCTTTGTAAAACTTGTCCTGCAGTGGTTGACCGCGTTCATCGATAATTTCCACTTTCGGAACTGAAAAGAAAGTTACAATGTAAGTGATAAATATTTGCTCATTTATGCCTATTTATTACATAAACAATTCATACATAAGAAGAAAGATTTATCCAATATATAAAATTCTCGTGTCACAGTTTTCGTTGCCATACTCCTCCGAAACGGCTTGACCGATTCTCATGAAATTTTGTGTCCTTATTGTGTATGTCTGAGAATCGGACAACATCTATTTTTCATCCCCCTAAATGTTAAGGGTAGTCCACCCCTAAATATTTTTTTTTTAGATATTTTTTCTGTTTTTATTTTTTATGATACAGCATTAAAACATACATTCAAACCCCTAACTTTTACCCCTCTACGATCAACCCCTATTTTTTTATTAGAATTTTTTTTAGAAAAAATTTATTATTCAATAAATGGTTATTTGCATGAGACACTGTAGTTGCTATAAATTTAATGATGATATGTACGATACAAATAATATAAGAACTGACCAATTCATATGACTAAAATGTAAAATTTCTTTAAAGAACTTAATTGCCAATTTGCGCGCCATTGTATGTGGCAGAATATGCGATCTTACGATTGTACCACCTTACACATTTTTGTACCATATTCTTGCAATAAATTATTATTATATTTCGCTGTTATTATTTTTTTATTTCATCGTACAGCGTTGCATACTAACATATAGACTATCTTGTGACGCTGTGAGGTCTTCTCGTAAATGTGGATACTTTTAATTCAAGTCTGTTAATTAGTGTAGTATGTTGGGTTAGCTTCAGCACGCGACTCTCTAAAACTAAGTAATGTTTACAATTTAAAGTCTCACGTGAATATGAGATTAGGAAGAATTTTAATGTCGATTTTGTTAATATTTACATGAATTAAATGTTACCAGCAATATTGGCCTAGCTTAAGGACATATCCGGTCACCTAACTCCAAAAAAGTACATTGTTTCTTTCCATTTTTCGTCACCGTTTCTTGATGTAGAGCGAATGGAAAAAAATATGGTGGAGTTGAGTAGTTTATGATTAAATATCGATACACGATTTAAATAACGCTCGATAGAAAAAAAATCCAAAGATAGCCAATTTTTGACACTTTGAATTCATTTTATGATGAAAATGTATATAGAACATGATTTTGAAATTTACACGATATATTTTATCGCAAGCCAAGTAATCCATTTTGTCTATAAAAATAACTATCTACTATAATAAAAAATAGGGGTTGATTGTAGAAGGGTGAAAATTAAGGGTTGTATGATGTATTTTTGTATGCTGTATCATAAAAAAATAAAAACACTTTTGTCGTAGTTAACTGTAATATTAAGACCTAGAAGTGAGTTTATCCTGAGCTTAACTGAGAGACATAAACGTGTAATTGAAGACGACATAAGGGCGGATTAAGAACAACCACAGAGCACATAGAACAGTTGTTTCCTGTTTCTTAATTTAACTTGTGGTTACCCGGAAATGGACGCTTAGTGGCTAAGCGAAGCGTAGTCAATTAAGCTTTATTTATTTATTAAAGTTCACCACATATATATACACAGTATATGTTTTATATCTATTCTAAAATACATCACAATTTTGATGAACATAAGTGTTACAAAAAATTAAAATATAATAAAAATATTCGTGTACAATGTTCGTTCCCATACTCCTCCGAAACGGCTCGACTGATTCTTATGAAATTATTTATGCATATTTAGTAAGTCTGAGATTCCGTTACTATCTATCTTTCAAACCAAAGTGATAAGAGGTGTCCAACCCAAAATGTTTTTTATTTTTATTTTATAAAAAAAAAATGTTTTTATTATTTTATGATACAGCATACAAAAATACATACAACCCTTAATTTTCACACTTCTACAATCAACTCCTATTTTTATTATAGTAGATATTTTTATTGAACTAAAAAATGTGTCCTAGAAATAATATACATGGCAAAACAAATGTTTGCCGGATCAACTAGTTTTATATAAATAGGTGATCAGCCTTCTGTGCCTGACACGCGCCATGAACTTTTCGAATCTAAAGCAAGCCAGTTATCTCACAATGTTTACCTTCACCTCCCAAGTGAGAGCATATAAACAAAAGTCAATAAGTGCATTGCCGGGGTTCGAAACTGCGATCAGGGATCAAAGTTGCTCGCTCAAGGCCAACATTACTCGTAATATTAAAATAATAATAAAACCGACATTAAAATTCTTTTATTTCATATCCACGTGAAAATTGTAAGCATTATATATGGGAATAAAAAAAATTATGCAAATATGAATGTGAGAACCGTTCATCACAAATATAAATTGACTTTGACAAGTAAAACGTCTGATAATATTATGAACATTTTTATCCCATCTCATATATAAAATTCTCGTGTCACAATGTTCATTATACTCCTCCGAAACGGCTCGACCGATTCTTATAAAATTTTTATGCATATTCAGTAAGTTTAAGAATCGGCTTCTATCTATCTTTCAAACGTCTAAGTGATAAGGGTTGTCTGTCCCAAAATTTTTATATTTTAGACAATTATTTTGTTTTTATTTTTTTATGATACAGCATACAAAAATACATACAACCCTGAGCATTCACCCCTCTACGATTAACCCCTATTTTTATTTGTTAATTGAAAACTTATGACATGAACTCTGAGGTTTATATAGAGAAAAATTCACAGAACAACCTAAAAAGTTTTTATTCCGGAAAACAGAACAGCGTCTGGGTAGCATAGCAAAATGTTTCATGTACTATGTAGGTATGTACTAAAAAGTACGTTCGCGGGGAAGCTAGTTTTTAGATATAAAAAAAAGTTCATAAATATATATATATACTATTCCATTATAAAAGATTTTCTTAGTCTTAGGCCATATGTATGTTTTCTTTAAATGTCAAATACTCCAGCAATATTATTTCCAATCTATATTTATTCTGTGGGCTGGTCCCGTGTAATCCGGGCCAGTTCGAACACGGTTAAGTTAAGTCCGACGACCGTTTTTATCCAAATTGTTATTTGCTCAGGTGTTGATAGTATCAAATTGTTTTCCACGATAATATTTTCGTTCCTACCCTCATTTTCTGTTAATTATTCATAGCCATTACGTATATTTACGGAGCTGGATTCGTTTTTATTTCTATTGAAATTTTTCGAATATTTTTGAATGCTCTTAAAACCTTATAGATACTTAAATAGTATTAAACGATAACTATAAAAAGGATTCCCCTACCCAATAGACAACTTAATTTTCAATTTTGGGGTTGCTAAACGAAAATCAATGTTTATTGCGTCCCTACTTGGCATTCCTGAGGCTTAACGGCTTATACAGGGTGTCTGGGCAGTAAAAGGCTCGTGTGGGCCGTTAGAACGCATTTACGATCCTCACATGCCATACTGCATATAATTGCTTCTCATAATGATAAGGCAGCGTTCACGTTCGATCATGGGGTTTCATTTACGACTGTTTAATCTCCGTTAAGATATCTCTTTCTTATCACAAAGTGTTTCGGTAGTTAAACGTAAGTAGTGTATTTAAAGAAAACGCCGGAGTTGATATCGACAAACAGAGGACACCGTGAGTCATTTCTGCAAAAACCCTTCATCTTTTAGTCGATATCAACTCCGGGGAAATAAATACAGATAATACAACTTTTTCTACAGCTGTGATACTTTTTGACATTCAACACCTTTTGTCTTCAGTCACCGTGACCACGCACGCTGCAAAGCACGCGAAACGTCGGAAAAAATTTAAAATTATGTAAAATAATTAAATATTATCCGTTAAAAAAGTGTTTTCTTTAAATGTGTAAAAGTTATGTTAATAAAAAACAATACTAAGTAGTGTATTTGCTTACTTCACTACATAGTATAAAACAAAGTCGCTTTCTCTGTCCCTATGTATGCCTTAATCTTTAAAACTACGCAACGGATTTTGATGCGGTTTTTTAATAGATAGAGTGATAGAAGAGGAAGGTTTATATGTATAATAACATCCATTAAATATAGATGGAGAAATACTGTTATTTTTGAGATTTCTATTGTGATGTCGAAAATCGTAAATATGTAATTAAATTTTTTCCGCTTACATTGCGAACCCTATGAGATTTATCAAAATAATGTACTTAGTATTGTACACATTGAAAAGGTCTACAGAAAACTCCGGGATGGTATATGTCTATCTCTCATGGATATCTCACATTAACATTTTTTTGTCATTAACGACAAATAATGGCTAATTTTCGAAGCGATTTTAACCAATAGGTACAGATTTAATATAGATCTATATGGCCCTTTACAGCATATGATTTAAATGAATATTTTCGAAGATATTACAAATTTAAAAATTGCGGGACCCAGCGCGTCGGAGGCCGCGGTTCTGCCTATACTTTATAGCACTTTGAATTTAGTTTAAGCATTGCATCCGTGCGAAGCCGGGGCGGGTCGCTAGTAAACTATATATTGTTTGTCGCCTAACTAAGCGTAATACTAACTAACTGAACGTAACATCCTATTCTCGAAGCATTTCAGGCCATCGACCCCCCTTTAAGTAACACTCCCCCCATAAATTATAGTTTACGTGGCTAGTAAATAAACGTATTAACGATTTACGATATAATTTACGAAACGCATACATTGTTGCAGTCTCGTTGACCACGACTGGCTAAAAGCATTCAAAATGTCGAGTAAACAATGTAAATTTGGTTTTATATCCGTTAACAAAGTTACTTGTTTGTGTCGCCACAAATGGAGGCGAAATGACATTTTTTTTTGTAGTTCGTAAAACTACAAAAATATAATTTAAATCAGTCATATCTATACATATAAAATTCTCGTGTCACAATGTTCGTTCCCAAACACCTCCGAAACGGCTCGACCGATTCTTATGAATTTTTTTATGCATATTCAGTAAATCTGAGAATCGGCTACTATCTATTTTTAGGCATTTTTTTTGTTTTTATTTTTTTTTATGACACAGCATAAAAAATACTTACAACCCGTAATTTTCACCCCTCTATTACCAATCCCTATTTTTTATTATTGTAAATAGTTATTTTTATTGAACTAAAAAAAAATTTCCTAGAAATAATATACATGGAAAAACTTTTCCGGGTCGGCTAGTAGTATTATAATATATATTTAATGGAAAAAAACTAAAGTTATAAAAAAAAAGTTATAAAAGTGTCAAACTAACTTAAACTAATTCTTTATTACGATTAAAAGCTTAAAGAACTTTAAAGAACACTTTGAACAGACAAAAGACAACATAATGAACTGATTCTTCACAAAGTAAGCACTTCTAACGTGTGACATCTTTATTTAATAAAATTATATGACGTGCTAAGTACGGTTATTATTTTAATTATGCGTACTCGGGCATAATGACCGTACCCATTTGTGTTAAAGTAAGTTAATTTTACTCTACAGGCGTAATTCACATTTCTCTATGGCATTGTTTTAATGTGTCTTATCTTTTATATACAGAGCAGCGTTGGTCTAGTGGCTTCAGCGTGCGACTCTCATCCCTGAGGTCGTAGGTTCGATCCCTGGCGCACACCAATGGAATTTCTTTCTATGTGCGCATCTAACATTCGCTCGGACGGTAAAACATCGTGAGGAAACCGACATGTCTTAGACCCAAAAATTCGACGGCGTGTGTCAGGCACTTGTCAGGAGGCTGATCACCTACTTGCCTATTAGAATGGAAAATGGTCATGAAACAGATTCAGAAATCTGAGGCCTAGACCTAAAAGAGGTTATAGCGCCACTGACTCATTTTTATTTTTTATATTTTATATATTTTTTTGCAATATAAAAATGTAGTTTATTAAAGTCATGATTACAATCAGGTAAATAGTATTTACAATCTTAGTAACCTACAAAGGAATAATAAAAATTATTAAAAAGAAACTCAAAACAAATTTAAAAGTTTGACCCCTGTCTATTATATTGTACATATTACATCTTAAATTTCAAAAATCATTTATTTTAGATAACAAAATGTACATTTATGAACGACAAAAAATAAATTCTAATTTTACATTTACTGCCAGTTCTCAAATCAAGGGCGTAGAACGGAAGAGAATAACGGAACGGAATAATCTACTGGCGTTATGACTTTTATCCACAGGTCGGTAGCGGACTTGCGAGCCCTCGGGGAATGTGAGTGTCTATGGGCGGTGGTATCATTTAAGATAGATAAGATGGACCTCCTGGTCCATCTTACCTGCCCATTACTTTCTATGATTTTTATAAGCGACTGATACAAAAGTTGAAAATTACACATACAATACCTTTAATAGGAAAATCCAGACCTTCACTAAGTTCCTTCATTTATCGTACGTAAACATTTTTGAACAATCTATGCCAGGTTATTTTAATAATTCAAAGATGAAAATACTAAACACCGTTTAACTTAATATTCTCTTTTCTTTACAGCGTAAACACAATTTGTCAGAAAGAGGCGAAAGAGGATTTTGATCAGATTAGAACAAATAAGTTTTTATAAGGAGCTACAGTTATTAGATATAATCCTAAGCCTGGTCGATAGTAAGAGGGACCAGCGAGAAAGATCAGTCCTAGCATAGTAGAAAAGAGAGAAAATGCTGTTGGTATAGCAGTACCAATTTTGAACATTTTATATCACCTCGACGTCCGTCATTACACAACTGAGCGTTTTAAGGCAGTTTTTGCCGCGCACCTTCACTATGTGGAACCAGCTGCCCACTAAATTGTTTCCGAACCAATTTGCCATAGGGTCCTTCAATAAAAGAGTGTACCAATTCCTAAAAGGCCGGAAACACAGTTGTGAGTCTTCTGGGAATGTGTGTGTTTACATAAAAAACTGCTATAAGATTGAAATTATTTTAATATATGATACTGGCATAAATAAAATATTTCTCTTACCAACAACACTCAGATGCACTCTCCTTACAAGTGGTGGATGTGTCGAAATCTGGCATTCATAGTATCCTTCGTCCCTTTCACTCACGTACTGAATGAGCAGGCGCCAGTCGTTCGGGTGTTCAAATGCAAGGGAGTAGCGTGAGTCGGCTGAATATGTGTGTCTTCCAACAGACAGGAGATGTAGTTCTTCGCCTTTTCTTCGGACCCAGGAAATCTGAAAAAAATTTACTCTTAAAAACTTGACAGTGTTTTATATTTTTCCCACCCTTTATTGCTTGAATATAAATGTGTGTTTGAATTTTTAATGAATAATTTAATTGAAATATGGAAAAACATATAATAAAAAATAGCCTATGTTCGAGTACTAAGATAATGACGTTTGCATTAAGTTTATGTTATAAAATTCAAAAAAATTCAAAAATCATTTATTCACGTAGGTAACACAATGTACACTTGTGATTCGTCATTAAAGAAATACATATTAATGCTTCTAATTTTACATTTACTGCCAGTTCTCAAATAAAGGGCGTAGAACGGAAGAGAAGAACTGGCAAAAAACTCTCCGCCACTCTTTTTAATCGCCATGTTTTTTTTACACAACGTTTGTAAGGAGCTGCAACCATTACACCATGTTCCACATGACATCTTAAGTAATTAATAATAATAACATAAATTAAAAGCAAAGACTTGTCCTCTATCAGCAGGAGGCATGGTGAAATAGGAGCACGCACTTACATTCTCGTGGGAACAACACGCAAACACATAGTCGAAATAATTAACATCACCGCATACACGAATTCAAGTACGACCAGTCACCACAAGTAGCACCCGTTCACAAGTATGACGCATGGCCAGCCATCGGCCCCCTCGCCATATTTTAGGGAGAGAGACAACCCGTCGCATGGACGCCGCCACAAGCAATGACATTTAAGCGAGCATGACGATCCTTGAAATGTGGACTTGGCTACATAAGAAAATAATAATAATACTGAAATAATTTAATACCGCATGGATCACGGTTTGTTCCCACTTTACATTAATACAGTCGTGGATGTTGACGATCGCCCCGGAGTCTGGAAATGCCTCTCGGCTGCATTTCCAGACCTCGCGTTACCTATTTATACTGGAGCAACTTATATCCAAGCACTAGGATCGTTTAAATATTCATTTATATTATAATAGGCCTTAGCAAGCAGTTTTACTTTAATGTACGACTTAAATTTATTTATTGACAACACTTGTATCTCACTAGGGATTTTATTGAAAAAACGTATACAATTGCCTTGGAAAGAATTACTCGTTTTATGCAGCCTTCTGGTTGGTGCGCTAATTTTGTCTTTATTACGAGTACTATAATTATGGAAGCTACTATTCTTTTCAAAAATATCTATATTTTTCCGCACATACAAAATATTCTCATAAATGTATTGACTTGCCAGAGTCAAAATATGTAATTCCTTAAACTTCTTTCGGACCGACTCCCGTGGGGACAACCCACAGATCGCTCTTATAGCCCGCTTTTGCACTACAAATACCGATTTAATGTCAGCTGCATTACCCCACAAAATAACACCATATGACATAATACCTGAAATACTATGAAAATAGCTGAAATAAACAAGCTTTGCTGTGTTCTCATCCGTAAGATCGCGTATCTTTTTTACTGCGAACGCTGCGGAACTTAGCCTATTCGAAAGACCTTCTATGTGTCGGCCCCACTGGAGTTTACTATCTTAAGTAATTCCCAAGAACACCGCATTATCAACAAAGTCTATTTCCTCGTCTTTAATTATTATTTGAGAATGACTACTTTTTACATTTGTAGTTACAAATTTAACACATTTTGTCTTCTTTTCGTTTAGCTTAAGATTATTTGTATTAACCAGTGAACTACACTGGAGAAGGCACTGTTTACGTATCAAGTGATGGATTTTGTCGTTTCACTTTAAATAAAAGCGAAGTGTCATCAGCAAACAGTACTATCTCGTGAAGCTCCTTTACAAGAAATGGTAGGTCATTTATATAGACGAGGAATAAGAAGGGACCAAGTATGGAGCCTTGCGGTACTCCCATAGTAACAGAGGATCCCTGTGATATAGCTCCATTTACATTTACCTTTTGAATTCTATCGCTCAGGTATGATCCCACAAGATTTAGCGCTTTTTCGCCAATGCCATAGTGTTGAATTTTTTTGATTAGGATTTCGTGATGGACACAGTGAAAAGCCTTTGATAAGTCGCAAAAAACTCCAATGGCATCATGAGAATTTTCCCAAGCATTTAAAATCTCGGAAATTAATGGAATGCCAGCATCTGCTGTGGAGCGACCTCTTGTAAAACCATACTGCTGGCTATGCATAAGTTTATTATTATTAAAATTATATATTATACAGGGTGTCCCAAAAGTTGACGTCAAGTCGAAATTTTCTCATAGGTAATGCCACACCAGTTATCAGAAAAATTAAAAAAAAAATAAGTCATGTATTTTTGAAGTTATGATTTTTTTTGTTTTAGCGATTAGGATATTAAACAAATTATGAAAGTACCGACTGCAGCGCCATCTGTCGGGCGGATTTGTGAATCTAAACCATCCAGAGCGCCAAAATTCATTCAAATCGGGTAAGCCGTTTAAGAGGAGTTCAGTGAGATACACACGTACAGTAGAATCATACATATAAAAATTAGAACATGACCTTGGACAGAGTGAAGGCTTCAACCAAATTCTTCCATTTGTAATGTGAAGCATTTTAAAATTTATTTATTCTCCTCTTAATTCTCAGATAATAGTTAGCATAGGAGAGGATTGCAATGATTCCGTCTTTACCGTTAATTTTTTTATTTTATAACCATTTTTAAAGTTATTTTTCTTAAATGTTCATTGTACGGGACACATACCAAAATATTTCACACAATAAATATCTTTAGAGCTGTGCTGTTCAATGGTCCAGAACTTGGCTGAACTCCAACATTGTACGTAATTATTCTACTATGATGTTTACATGACTCAACCGTGATAATTTATTCTAAATTATGAATGCACGAACCATTTTGGAAAGGTAGGAAACTAATTTATAAATTTTTTCACGATTAAGTAAAATATTTCTTTTGAAGTTTGGCGCGTTAGGGAAAAATGATGAGAGTAAATTTTTACGATGCGCGCATACCGTCACAAAAATCCGACATCCTGAATATCTGTTCAAATGTCGGTAAAACAGTCTGGGCTGCTAGTTGGCGCTTGCTCTGTTTTATCGACAAGGTGCAGTTGTGTTTATTTAAACCAAAATAATGATTTCTATACGAGAAAACCGTTCCAATGTAGAAAAACATAGTGTTTCTTGTAAAATATCATGATTGGTACATATATCGTTTCGATTGGAAGTGACAAAAAAACGGACAAGAAAAATGCAATTTGAGGAGGGAACCGTCCCTCTAAAATGCTGGAAGAAAATTATTACGCCAAAGAAGTATAACTTCTAACGCATGTACATAATGTACGCACACATTGTTTTTTTTATTTGTATCAAGATTTAAGATTATTTATTTAAAACTCATATAATTTATTTAATCATCGGTTAAATGGTTTATTCATATGTTGAATAATTGAAGACAACTTTGAACTAGAACACCAATCTGTATACCAAATTGCTTGTCAAATTTAGAACCTCCTTCCAATTATAATCCCTCAATCACAGGTTTCTAACCTGTCTGTGTCAAGGTGGAATGTTACATTGGGTGAGTTATGTATATGTAATCCAACCATAAGTAGGATTAACAGCAGTACCCAGAATAAGACACAGAGAATACATCTACGCATTTCTAGAATCCTGATGGAATATGGAGGCCCAAATACTCTAGTATTTAGAAAGAAATTTAGATGACTTATTATATTAGGTCATATGTAATGAAATTAGCGTGTTGTATGGGAGGAACAAAAAGTAGATTTTATCTATATATATAAAAATGAAACCCGTTTTCCGTTGTCACGATATAACATGAAAACGGCTTGACCGATTTGTCTGATTTTTTTAAATAATATTCCTTGAAGTACGAGGATAGTTCTTACGGAGAGAAAAATTAAAAAAAATTAAGTAAAAAAGTCTAAAAACAGCACTTTTCTATATTCCCATACAAAATATTCGTAATAATACTTAAAAGTCAATTTGAACTTTAATACCATATCATAAAGTTCAAGTGTTAGTGGAGGGGTTCCGGGAAGCAATTTTTTTATTTTTTGACATAATGTATTTGTTGTCTTATCAATTTTTTTTTATCTTACTAGCTAGACCGGTGTCCCGAATAGCAGAATAAGTATTTAAAAAAAATAAAGAATCGACTGTTAGGCGGTACGATGTTCGCCAGGCCAGCTAGTTATATCAGCAGGGAACAGCTAGTATTCTATAATACTAGCTGTTCCCTGCCACGCTTCGCTGTGGCACATTGTGATTGAGAAATGAGAAACAAAGGAAACATTTCATATAAGTTTAATTTGGAATACTTGTGAAAAAAAATGAAAAACGAAAAAACAATCCTTGATGCGGATTATATGTCATGCTAAAATTTCAGCTTAATCGGTGCAGAAATTTTTGAGTTTTTGAAGCGTACACAAACCAACATAATATTTATTTATATATAGATATTTCACTTATCAAAGTATGTACCATTGCTATCTATGCACTTTTACCATCTTATAGGTACATAGTTCATTGATCCATTGGTTTCGACTGTTGAATTTTTTATCTAGCAATAAGTTATATGTAATAGGAGGCAAACAGGCAGGAAGCTCACCTACCGTTAATTGTAAATCAGCCGACTTTATTGTTATTAAAAAAAAATCAGTGGCGCTACAACCTCTTTAGGTCTTGTCCTCAGATTTCTGAATCTGTTTCATGATCATGATCACTTTTAAATCTAATAGGCAAGTAGGTGATCAGCCTCCTGTGCCTGACGTACGCCGTCGACTTTTTGGGTCTAAGACATGTCGGTTTCCTCACGATGTTTTTCTTCACCGTTCGAGCAAATGTTAAATGCGCACCTAGAAAGAAATTCCATTGGTGCACAGCCGGGGTCGAACCTACGATCTCAGGTATGAGTGGTGCACGCTGAAGCCAATACTGCTATTGTTACTTTACATGGTTACATATAACTTAAATCGATACTTACAGTTTTTTCACCAAGATCGTGAACTCTACAGTGCAAGTGAACGCGGCTACCCAGCTGGGCGGTAACATTATTAGTCGAAGCATCATCTTCGAAGAAGGGCAGGGGCTCTGACGTGGTAGTGGAGATGTCTTCCTCTGGATACTCGTATGATTCCGTGAAGACCTCGTGCCAAAATGGACCGGTTATAATCTTATTGTCACCGGGTTTGAAGTCTGCGAAAAAACATTGGAATATGTTTTAGTTTACAGTTAATCAAAGTACGATATTTATCTTTCGCTTTATTTGATCTTAGTTCATTGAATTTACATTTAAATGTAGATTGTATAAATTTTATTATTCATGAATGATTAAATTTTCTTATGATCAGCCTTCTGGGCCGGACACTTCGTCAATATTGGGGTCTAAAACATGCCGCTTCGTGACCGTGTATTTCTATATGTCACCGTAAAATTGTAAACACCGTTAGATTGTAACCTATCGAAGTGAAACAGTCGAATTGTGAAATGGATCGCACCTCGCGCGTTGCTTGGTTGAACGGAATATGCCCCGCGCCACCATATATGTTTGTTAATTCGTTTGTTGTCGAATGTAAATTTAAATAAAAATACTTGTTCGTGTACAGCTGAGGTACGAACAAATAACTTCAACAATCGTACGTTTAACCACTTAATGTAGAATAAAATTGAGTATTTAATATAGTAGAAGTCCTAACGCATGATGAGACCGTCAATTCTATTACATAATGACGCGAGCAAATGTACCGATCTCTAGTTCCAGAGGCCAAGGGTTAATTTGGGTCGCCAGCGAGGAATATAATAATAAAATTTACCAATAATTAATGTTGAAGAGAAGTGTAATGAATACTTTAAGAAAAGTTAGGCGTATAATTATAAACTTGGACAGCAAAGCCGGAATTATGTACGCAAACTAATTAATGCTTGAATTTTTAAAGCAGTGGTCGACTTTTGAAAACTAATAAAGTTGTAGAAAAGAGAAAAATATAGTTAAGGGTTTCGCAAGCAAACATTAAAATCCCAAGAAATTGTTGCTTGATTAGTTTTATCCGGAAATCGGTAAATGGAAAGTTTACTATTTATAATTATTGATTTTACTAAACTTTCAGAAAGTTGTTGTTTGAAGTTCCGTATCCCCCAATGGGTTATAGGACCAATAATTATTTCGCCGAGAAACATAATATGAAAAAAAATTAAAAATGAAAATGTTTATTTGTATCTCAATTTTACATTAAATACATGAGTTGAGACAGCCCCCGTAAGTAGTCAGAGACACTTGTGTTGGGGTTGGCTCGCTACTGCCCTTATTTATACAATATTGAGACATTTGTTAGAAAAGAATACAAAACAAAACAAAACCCAGCTAAGAAGCAAAGCCGGTAAAAAATTAAATAAAATGAAATTTAATTCTCATAGTTTCTCTAACGATTCTATGAACTTATTTTATGCATGCGTGGTTGTGTGTGTATGTGCGCATATGTGTGTGTGTGTGTGAGTGAGTGTATACTTTTTTTGTTTTTAAGTATATAATTATGTATGTGTGTGTCAAACTACCGAACTCGTACTAAAATGTGCTCAGTTTCCTCATACGATAAAGTTTTTAGCCAATCCGTTATAACTTCCTTACATTCATACAAAACATATAATTCAGGAAAATGGACACAAATAATATTTCAATCACAATTGTTATATTTGTATAACGATTTCTATTAACTACTCCGCGAAGACTCGAGCTCCCTTTGAGATATACCAAAGCTCCAAACAATGATCCCTAAGTACAATAACAATATCAGACCTTAGTGGCTTCTGAATACAATAAGAACTTTATACGAATTGCGGAGTTTCAAACTGAATTTTAGCAAATGATACTCTCAAGAAAATCGAGGGAAAGACAATGAACTGATATTGAAGTGAAAAGAGCATTTTAGAATTTCCTCACATTTAGGACGGCTGTAGTCGCGATGTTGAAACGTATTATGCCTCATATTATGTATTTTTTGAAGTTGTACTTCTTTAGGCGCGTTATGAAAAATTGATGAGAGTGAAATTTTACGATTGCGCGCGCACCTATGACACAAAATTGGCAGTGTGATATAGCGTGCGCGAGCGAGATGGGAATAAGACAAACTACAAGTAAAAGAAATAGAATATGCGTGAAGCTAACTTCACGCATATTCCTAGCTTAGCAGCTTAACAAGAATTTTGAATGACCATGACAATTGACATCTGACAATGACATTTACCTTTTAAACAAATATAGGAGTTTTAATTATTGTTTAAAATTAATAATTATATACCTAGTTATTTTCATTATACAAAATATTTGTGAAATAATATAAAATATTTGTGAAAAAACTGTGCTAACCTTCCTGAGTGCTTCAATACAATTGAGGTTAACTATCCGTATGTATTATCGAGTATTATTGTTGATTAAAACTGAAACATGAACCATTATTCATTGCTTTTGTTTATTGCGTTTGTTACAGCAACTTTTTAGAAATATTCTACGACCCTATATATCAATAATTGAGAACAAAGATTTAAGCACGAATACTAATAAGGAGAAAATGAAGGCTTGGAGCGATATAACAGAGAAGTAAACATTTTAATAAGTACCTGCATCTCAAAAAAATGACCACATTATTTAATCAAAACATCAGATTTAATCTAGCAAATATAAGGACAAGAGACAAAAAACAATTGATGAATCAGTGGAAGTGCACTAAATTGAATACAAAAAAAGAGTTGTCATCTTATCGCCGTGAAACATCAAAAACTGGAGGTGGAACAAAGCCACCATCACCTTCTCGAGACACAATGGTTTGAAGTAGATTTCAATGAATTTGATTGTGATGGTGTCGAGGTAGGAATGTTAATTATAAATATGATGTATGGTGATGTTCAAGGTTCAACCTTTCAAGCATAGGCATATGCTTACAACATTACTTTATTCCCCTACAGGGTAGTTAGAGATATTGTAATACCTCAAAACATCCATGTTGCACTTGTAGTACCGAAACTCTGTCCTGCCAGAAGTGAGCCCATTCCCACTTATAATGGACAGTGGGTATAATACACCTTAATACCTGAGTGCGAACCACTCACCATGATACTTAAATTAATAGATGGTATTTATATATTTCAGGTTATTACAAATAAAATCATTTTGGAAACAATTGATATCCCAAAAGCAAATAAAGCCAACAATGACAAGGTAATAATAATTTTGACATAACTTGAATACTAAAAAAGCCAAACAAAGGTGTGCACAACAGTGACAACATAACTTAACAATTTCATTATTTTGTAGGATTAAAGAAAGGTTAAAGAAAATCATGTCGAACTGAACAACAAGAATCCCCAAACAACTCCAAAGAAACCTACAAGGAAGACACCGGTATTATATTTAAATTATCTCTATCTCTAAATAGAATAAAAGAAAGTTGCTATCCAGGTCTGTAGCATGTGCTAAAATTATATTATTAACACATTTATATAATTATATTAATATAAATGTGTTAAAAATTTATAATATGAATTATAAAAAAATTTAAGTTTTGCATGGACAGAGCTTAAATTAATATTCTCTTATTTGTTGCAGAAAGCAAGTAGTTTTGGAGAAGCCTTGTAGATGCACAACCAAGTAATGATTAATTTAAAATTACAAACCGAAATTCTGATGAAGACATTAGAGTCACTTAAAAATAAATAGTATAATGAAATAAAAATGTTTTAAAGATAAATAGTGTTTTTATTTGTTTAATGTAAGAGAATAATAATAAATATTTATTTAGTTAATTTTTCAAATGTAAACTGAACTTTATTGACTTTAATGACTCCTTTTCCAGTCTTTGATTATTTAATTGTAATTAATTATTTGCATGCAATCAAAAACTATTTTTAATAATGCCAAAGAAGTATAACTTCTTACGCGCGTACATAAGTACACGCACCCTTTTTTCTATATAGGCAAGTGATCAGCCACCTGTGTCCCACACACGCTGTAAATTGTTACATCTATGTGATTCCTTCGCTGGACCTCAAGGTTGAGAAGCGCTCAAGCGTCTACGCCAGCTACTTACTGCCTACTTACCACGCTTTAAAATAGATTAGTCGATAAAATATAATATATGATTGTTAATGTTTATTCCCTTTTTAGTCTTGTTTAAAGAACTAAGTAGTTATTATATATGCAGGCAATAAATAAAAGGGCAGGAGGCTCATCTGATATTATGTGATACCGCCTCCCATGGCTCGCGAGTCCGTTGACGGCCTTTTTAAGAAATACCTTTTAAAGGTAAGCTCTTGATGGAAAAGAGCATTTTCCTCGGTCATTATTATTTCTATTACTTCGTGTTCTACAGTTTACCTTTTGGGTAACTTGTTTTATACTCTTGATAATACTTTTTGTAGGAACCGAATTAAAATCGTCCGTTTAAAATCATCTTAAGATTGTTTAAGGGTGCGTACAGACTATGTAACATATTATATAACTTGTGTTTTATAACACGTCCACATTATGTAACCCTGTTATTCAACATTATAACATAAAACAATACTGTACACATTAGAATAACAATGCAATATAATAATGTTATAGAACCATTTTAAATAACAAAAGAAAAACAAAAAAACGTAGATGCTGGGTTCGTCCTAGCATACATATCAATAACATGTTATTATAACATGTTTTATAACATTCAGTGTCCACATTATCTGAAACATGTTGTATAACATGTTATGTTATATAGTCTGTACGCACCTTTAATTACCCTGTCTCGTAAATACTTTAATGTTTTAATATTTGAAGATTTCAGTTCATATCAGGCATGGCAATTTTCAACTGTTATTGCTTCTTTTGTATTGTTAGAAATTTAGTAATAAGTTTTAATGAAACGGTTATGACAGAAGTTGTTAAGTAAAAGTATTAAATTTGTTTATTACAATTTGTTTATGAGTTTAGCTTACTAAAACTCTTGTTAACTCTTATGAGGAAACATGATGTAAGATAAAGAAACATTATGGTTATATCAGATTCGGTAGCTAAAGCACGGGAACATTTGAATAGACTCAAGTAACAATAGATGAGATTACATACGATACTAGCTGTACGGTTCCTGGGTCCGGTGCTTTAAATAATAGAGGATTTTAATTCTACTCACCCGCATATAGCAATAGAATATAAGCGAAATAATTAAATATTAATTGCTATGAAACGAATGAATGCAAAGTAACAGTTGAAGAGAGTTCCTACGTCTGGCTATACTCTCGGGGCGTAACTCCGACGATTTAGGAAATCGCCACGCTTATAAAACTAAGAAAGCCTTAGAAAGAGTGAGCAAAATGAACAGCCTTGACTCGTACACTAGCTGACCCGGCTAACATTGTTTTACAATATAAAGATTACGACAGTACTAATATCGACGGTACTTATTTTTGTATTTGGGCCACAAAATTAGGACCAACACATGATATAACAATAAAAAAAACGAAAACTACAAAATATAAAAAAGGGTTCATGATCGAAGGGTAAAAATTCAGGGTTCTATGTAATACCAAAAAAAACATTGGAGTGCACCACTCTTATCACATAGGGGTGTAAAAAAGAGTTGACAACCTATCCTCGGACCCACCGAACATAACAAAAAAATCGGTGTAACTTTATATACATAGATCACGTAAGCAACTGTTATCATGAACATAACACTTTCTAAAACATGCATGGATTAATATTATAACTTTTTTTTGGTACAGACCCACCAACTTATCTGTGAAATGGAGAAAATGGGAACTACGGCCGCCATGTTGAATTTCGGCAGCTACAGGTGAGTGTTGTCTACTTTCTTTTTGTAAATTACCCTATATTTTTTTCACTGATTACTTTTTAACGTAATTGTAACTTAAAAAATATAAAGCTGAGTGATTCAACTACCTGTAGTTCTCGTCACGTAAAAATAACGCTGGAATAAATCTGAGGGGCTCTCCCGCATAGGTACGTTTGGCTTAGCGTAAATTCCCTCCACTCCACTTTTTTTCTAATATAACGTCCTAGAGTGGGAAAAGGGCAAGAAGAAGAAGTTTATTTGCAAGTTATTAAATTTCATTTGCCTACTTTGCTAAACATTTAGTTTGTAAGTGGGGTACCTACATTATATCAATTGAATGCCAGAGAAAAAGCTGTTGTATCTATCTACCTATATTAATTTTCTTATTTTTGAAGACTATTTAGTACTTATATTACCATTTTATTATTATAAAACAATGTTAGGTATTGTTTAAAAAAATAAAATTATGTTTATATATTTACCTAGTTTCTTATCTGACATACCCAATCATGGGTAACTTTTATTAATTTGCAACACTAAAGCGACGGTGGCGCTACCACTCAGTTCACAGATAAGTTGGTGGGACTATACGCATCCAGCACCAAAAGTTATGGGACTCAATTCACTCCAGGCAAGAATTACTATTCGGTAATGTCCAACCCGAGTCAAAGAGTCGCGATCGCTGTGGCTATTGCACTGGGACAAATTACCTATGATAATTAATATCAAATTGTTATTTGAAAATTTCAAATGACCGATGACTTACCTTTTACTTGAGGTGCTATGACACATAGTGTTCGTGTAAGCAACGAGCTGAATATCAGCAGACCAGCTGGCGTCATCTTCTTAACCTCGAGACTTAGGCGCCATAGACTTCATCTGGCTAGCTTCTTGGTGACCTGGTACAAAGAATATATATAAATAATTGATTCCCAATGTACCATACTTTTTGTATAAGATACATAAAATGTATGAAGGTAGATAGACTCTGCAACATGGACCAAACTTTCAATTTTATTTTCAGCTTAGGTTAATATGATATTGTAAGTAATTAATTATTGTATCCATAAAACATATATATGATATATACATATTTAGAGAAGACTTCCTGATAGGGCTGACATTTTAATCACGCAAGTAGCTTATCATTGGTATATCAAAAACATTTATGATTGTTTTGCCAAGAATTGAATGCAGAACCATATATATGTAAAATGTGAATTTAATGATAGGTAAAATTACCCGATTACCAAAAATTCCAAACGGGTAATTTATTTCCCAATAATATTTTTATAGTATCTTAATAGTAGTTGACACACATTCAATTCGACTTCTGACAAAGTCAACTCTTATTTTATTGCCTTATTTATTCAAGTTTACCACATCATACATAATATGTACTATATATAAAATTCTCGTGTCACAGTTTTCGTTGCCATACTCCTCCGAAACGGCTTGACCGATTCTCATGAAATTTTGTGTGCTTATTGTGTATGTCTGAGAATCGGACAACATCTATTTTTCATCCCCCTAAATGTTAAGGGTAGTCCACCCCTAAATTTTTTTTTTTATTTTTAGATAAATTACTTATTTTTTATTGTTTTATGATACAGCATAAAAAAATACATACAACCCCTAACTTTCACCCCTCTACGATCAACCCCTATTTTTTATTATAAATGATATACATGGCAAAATGACGTTTGCCGGATCAGCTAGTACAAATTTTACAAAAGAAAATAACCAGCAAAACACTCTCTAACTATAATAATGACTTAATTATCTTAAGTTTAAATAATAGAACGTTAGGTTTTTTAACATATTTATCTAAGAAGAAAGAGTTATCTAACAACCTCCTATAAATAAGCTAAATTGTATGTTATGGTAGACAGCTAAGACTTTTTTTTCCAATATTTACTTTCCTCTTTATTCTAAAACGAATAAATAATTAGCAGAGCTCATGAGCCTGCCTACACTCGATGGGAATTACCGTAGGTTTAATTTAATTTAATTGTTATATTAAAATTAGTTATTTCGACTACGTATTTGCGTGTTGTTCCCACGAGAATATAAGTGCGTGCTCCTATTTCACTATGCTCCTTACAAACTTTTTTAAAACAAAAAAATTGGCGATTAAAAATAATGGCGGAGAGTCTATTGCCAGTTCTTCTCACCCGTTCTACGCCCTTGATTTGAGAACTGGCAGTAGATGTAAAAGTTAGAAGCATTTAGTATGTATTCCTTTATTGACGTCCATACGTATACATTGGGTTACCTAAATGAATTTGAATTTAATTAATTAAATATAAAGTTTTTTTGAAATTAAAATTCTGAATTATAACGTAAATTATGTTACAATCGAACGAATTTATTGACCTGTGCTTGAAAATGATTTTATGATGTCCTTGGGGCATTGTAGATCTGGATTTTTACGAAAAAACTCTCGCTGTCAGCTATCCGCACGTGACATTTAAAACGATGCCGTCATTTTTATTTTATGGGCGGGAATTTCGCCAGAAGTTTTTCAATTCAATAAAAACTTTTATCTCAGTGAAAGACCCAGAACGTGAAGCACTTTAAATTTACATGAAAACTAGGCTTTTTAGATCGTAATCGGAATGAAAAAGTTTTCAAAACGTTGAACAAGGTTTTTTTGTTAATTTTAGGGCCAAGTCAAGAAGACCTGAGAACAGCATGAGAATTTTAACCCCCCGTCCCATCGGAGTCTTCTCCAAAGAGAAAAAAAATAAATTTAGAGGAAAGACTCCTATATTTTTGCCGTTTATTATTTTCGCCTGTTCCGCGGCCGCACCAGCTTTCTATATCGCCAAGTATAGCAGGAACAAACAACTTCAATAATATGTCGTACTCACACTGCACACTTCTTCGAATCTATATAATATTTCAAATATAAGCTAAAGTGACAACTTTTCCCCGTCCTTTCCAAGAGTTGAATTTATATTAATAGTATTTTTATACGTCCTATTAATTTAGACATCTTTAAATTATACATTTTGGCTAACATATTATTAAAAAAAAACCTACCTGTACTGGCGCTGCAGCCTTTTACGTCTTATAGTTTTGTGTGCTTGTGTAAGCTTGTGCTGGGGCAAGTGCACTCCCTTTTCTATAAATATCATACTTCGGATGCTAGGACTAAATATTACGCAGGAGAAACGGAACGCCATAGATTGAAAATTGCATTTTTTCTTAGAAGAAACGGCTCGTTTTTATTTTAGACTTCCAGTTATGGAACCCGATCAGCAGAAAAACACAGTTTAACAGCAGATAAAGATAATAGTGAAATACTTGATTATTTAAATAAATATTAAGCGTTCAGAATTTTCATATTATGAATGCGTGAAGCATAAAAATTATCATTTTGGTAAATTTGTTCGTTCAACGAACTGTCATAAAATGGCAATTTCATATATTCAACGAATAAAATTTCATAAGAGCAGCCTACTAGAATCCATTGCATAACGAGGATTTATTAAATCAACTTTTTATTCCATGCATTTTTGTGATATGCATGATAGTTTTATGTATATTTAGTTGAAATATTTATTGGTTGAAACGTTTACAAAGTAATTTAATATTCTTTTTGGTTTAACGTATAACTAATAAATATTGATTCCCCCCCCGCCCAAATAATTACCATACTCAACAAATTATATCTTTACAAAAAATTAATGAATAATATTAATTATATTTAAACATGAAGAAGTTTGTTGATGATTCTTATAGTCTTACTATTTACAGAATAAAATAGGAATTTTGTTCATAAATAATTAATCGCCGAAACTTACAAAAAGCTAACTTTACGAGCGGAAGCTTGCGTCTAGAAGTTGTAGTAGAACCCCGACGTATTAATTAGTTGTATACTTATTTAAACCATAGTAAAAAAAATGTGAGCCGTCAAGTGACGCCTGGCAGATGTAAAACATCGACATTATTTGTAAAAGTAATATGCAGAAAAGAACAGATTGTGATAGGAACTAAATATGTCATAGTGATAAAATAAAATATCACGATTTTTTTTTCCAGATAACGATGACTTTTTATTGAATAAACATTTATTTTCATTAAATACAAAAAAATACGAATTTATTTCAAATCGTGACTACTTAATTCGTTTAATCAGTGACTTCGAAATACACACACCGTACACACTACTGCATATAGACTGTATATATATATATGGTATATATATATAAGATATATCATATAGACGTGAAAAAGCCAGAAATCGGTTTTACGTGCGGCTATAGATGTTTCACATCAAAATCTAGATATATGCTAAAATAAAATTATATATTTTGTTAACACTTTTTTTTGGAAATAATATAAACAATATACTTAAAAATAGTGCAATGGACGTCCTTATCACTACTAAGCTGTATTAAGAATAATAAGAATTACGAGTGCAACAGTGGGAAACATAACATAATTTATAAAACCAAAAAAATTCAATGAAATCTTATATCTTTTTTGGTTATTATTATAATGGATTAAACCTTCGTTACTAATAAAATGGAGATATTATATTCATAAACTTTAAAACATAGTATACACTACACAACCATTTATTATATTTTACCCGTGTACCGCAAAACTGACATACTTGTCAAAATATACGTTCGAAATTCAAAATTCAAAGTTGAGTTCATACTCGCCTTTCGCAAATAAAGTATAACAGTGATGTATTACGTGCGGGGAACATTTTCAGAGATTTCTGGTGAATAACCAAGAATACGGTTTATTACAGTAGATAGTTTCCCTAAGGCCACATATTGCCCTAACCGCACCCAACTCGGGAAAGCTATTTGCTAAACAACGCTCAACACACATTTGTTTATATCACTAGGGATGAAACATATTTATTTTTACAAACCTGTCATGTTTTAAAAATATTAAATTTGTTGTTCTTATTACAAGAGTATCTAATATATAAAATTCTCGTCTCACAATGTTCGTTCCCATACTCCTCCGAAACGGCTCGACCGATTCTTATGAAGTTTTTAAATATGAGGATCGGCTACTATCTATCTTTCAAACCCTTAATGATAAGGGGTGTCCACCCCAAAATTTTATTTTTTATCTTTTAGACAAAATATTTGTTTTTATTTTTTATGATACAGCATACAAAAATACATACAACCCTTAATTTTCATCTACCCTCTACGATCAACTCCTATTTTTTATTTGTTAGTTAAGAACTTATAACTTGAACTCTGGGGTTTATATAGAGAAAAATCACAGAAATACCTAAAAAGTTTTCATGTTGATATGTACTAAACAGGTAGGCCAGGTATAAAGGAAAACGAAGTTCGCGGGGGCAGCTAGTATTATTATATTTATAGCTTTGAATCGATTTTTTAAATGAACCCCACCCCACTCAGAATAAATATTTTTCCTTTTAATAACTTTGCTCAAAATATAGCTAACTAAAGAAGAAACAATTCGTAAGAATTTTTTTTATTTTTTTTTTATTTATCTTTATCTTTATATCAATGCAAATGTTTGAAACAATTGGTAAGAATGCGTATTTACTTACTACCCGAGGTATTGTGAGCTAAATTATCCAATGAATAATTTATATTATAAGAGGTGAATAATGCCTATATGCCCTACACTTGTAGCCACAACATTGGTTGTATATAAATATGGAATGTATATGCTATCATATTACTTGTTACTTGAATATCAGTGCTTCAGGAAACAGGAATTTCCTCAAAGCTAGATTTTGATGGTATTTACGATGTATAAAATGTATAAATTTAAAACTCTGTTTTATATAACATTACAATTATTTATCAATTACAAATTATATCATCGCACT